AGTCCTAACCCCTGGACCGCCAGGGAACTCCCATAAAGAGTTTTTTAAGATGCCCTTTTCCACAGAAGTTCCCAGGCTGGTTTCCTTCTGACCATTTTAAAGTCTCTGAAAGGTGAGCCTGGGTTTTGATTCTGGATTTTGATCCGTGTTGCCACGTTATAACAGTTCGTGTGTGCCCTACCGTGGCTAAGCTGGATGATACACGTATGCAGCAAACTCAGGCACGTTGCCCTCTGCTCCTTCCGGGGAGGGTTGGTGGAGGAGTGCGTGCGAGCATTCTGGAGCCCCACTGCCTGGCTCTGATACTGTCTCCCCTGCCTTCTAGCTGGGAGGCCACAGCGTCTGAAAAACCCTCTTCCTTCCCTGTTGGAAGAAGGGGCGAAAAGCAGTATCTACTTCATGGGGTTGTTGGAAGGATTGAATGTGTAGCTCACAGTAGATGCTGCATAAACGCTTGCCGTGCTTCTCCTTAGAACATGAACGATTGGATGCCCATCGCCAGGGAGTATGACCCGCTTAAAGCTGGCAGCATTGATGGCACCGACGAGGACCCACATGATCGAGCTGTCTGGAGGGCGATGCTGGCACGATATGCCCCCAACAAAGGCGTCACAGGAGACCCCCTCCTCACCCTGTTTGTGGCGAGACTAAACCTGCAGACCAAAGAGGAGAAGTTAAAGGAAGTATTTTCCCGCTATGGGGACATCCGGCGGCTTCGGCTGGTGAGGGACTTGGTCACGGGCTTTTCGAAGGGCTACGCCTTCATCGAATACAAGGAGGAGCGTTCTCTGCTCAAAGCTTACCGGGACGCCGACGGCCTGGTTATTGACCAACACGAGATATTTGTGGACTATGAACTGGAAAGGACTCTCAAAGGGTGGATTCCTCGGCGACTTGGAGGAGGCCTGGGGGGTAAAAAGGAATCTGGGCAGCTGAGATTTGGGGGGCGGGATCGGCCTTTCCGAAAACCCATTAATCTGCCAGTCGTTAAAAGCGACCAGTTTCGAGAGGGAAAGAGGGAGAGAAGGGAGCGATCTCGATCCCGAGAAAGACACTGGGACTCCAGGACGAGGGATCGGGACCACGACAGGGGCCGGGAGAAGAGGTGGCAGGAAAAAGAATCAACTAGGGTGTGGCCAGAAGGTGACTGGGACAGAGAGAGGGACTTCAGAGATGACAGGGTCAAGGGGAAGGAGAAGAGGGACAGAAGTAAGTAGACTCCATCCCCTGCCAAACCCAAACGAAGGTACCCGACCAGTAAAAGCGCAGGGAGAACTGCACTGCTTGTATACAGAATCCAAGTCCAGTGGTTGAATAGAACTTACTGATGAAAATAAAAACAAAACAGAAGAAACTTACTAATGATAATGGGGTTGGGTACGTTTTCTTTCGACTCTGGAATGCAGGTTCAAGATGAACACGCTGATACTTTGAATTTTCTCTTCTTCATCTTATAGTTTTTGTTTTTGTTTTTTGGGGCTCATGGGCGGTTTGTGGGATCTTACTTCCCTGACCAGGGATTGAACCTGCACCCTCAGTAGTGAAAGTGCAGAGTCCTAACCATTAGACCACCAGGGAACTCCCTTCATCTTATAGTTGTAAGGACCCATTATTTGATAAGCTTGAGAAACAATTTTGCAGTCACCAGCATCTGTACAGAAAGACCTATGTAAGGAGCCACGACTCATTTAATTTGGCAGTACGGAATTTGCTTTTTCTCCCATCTATTGGAAATGGCCATTTTGAGGGCTTGGCAGAAAGAGGTGATGACTGAAAACCATTTGCATTGATCTGTGACTCCTGGGAACCCAAATCTGGTCAGAATCTAAGTTGTGTGTTTTCCACCTTTATGTCCATAGTGCAGGGTTTGCTGCAGTGAAATAAAAATGGGTTAGAAAAATGAATCCAAGGAGAATGTCCAGACTTAGTACCAAAAGCCAGTCTTAGCAGTGATCTGGGTCAGCAACCAGCTTCTCTTGAACAAATATAACTCCATTCTCGAGCCAAATGCTGACTACCTTTTTTCCTTTTCTCTTTTTGGCGGGGTGGCTGGCATTTAAAATGAAAACCCAGAGTTGCAGGGCTTTGGGGCTGTGGTCTGTGGTAATCCTCCAGCCCTTGGAAAAGAGAAAGTTCAAAAGAAGTGAGAGTGAAATGAAAATGAAATCAATGAAAGGTTAGTAGCTGGTTCCGATGGACTGATTTGCCTTTTCTCTCTTGATCATCCAGCCTCTGGTTTGTTTGAAACTGGATATACTGACCTGAACTTCTGAGAGCTTTGAATAAGTACCATACTGTTCATGTGATTTTTCAAGAAAGTGACATTCAACCTTTTTCTTTTATCCATGGCTGTGTCTTTGAAAGTTCAGGTTCTTAAAATTCAGGATGTCTCATGTAAAGTAAATGTCTGATTTAGTAGCAAGACTCACACATTCATTACTAGGTTTTTGCATCAGGAGTATGAATCTCATCGTTACATAGGGGACCTACGATATCTTAAAAGTGCTATCAGCTGTTAGAACTGTTTTAGGAGAATATGCTCTTTCCTTTGTAAATTTCCAGTGCAGAATTTCACTCTTCTCCCAAATCTCAGAAGACCGCCTTGCAGGAACACCTTTACGATTTCACCCATGTTTCATTTACAACGTGTGTTACGGGCTAGAGTTGGTAGGTACATTAGGTAAACAAGCTGCTCCACATCAGGGAAGCTGAGTCGTGAGACGGCTTCAGAAGAAACACACACAGGGGCAGCAGTGTTTACAGAGTCTAAGCTGGCGGCTATCAACCCTGAGTACCAGAATACCGATGGATGGAAAAAATAGGCACATTCAGTCCCCACCCCTGGACATTTGGGCTTAGTCTTACAATGGCCCTGGTAACTAAAAAAAAAAAAAAAATAGTAGAGCCCCCCCCCCCCCCCCCCGCCCTGGTCAGGGACTGTAGTTGTCAACATGGCAAAGGCGGATACCCTCCGACCCGGCAATTCTGCTGCTAGTTTATTCTGCAGACTGATGCACGTGTGTGAGTGTGCAGCGCTGTTTTAGAAAGATGGGAAGCTACCTGTCCACCAGTGAGGCCTGGACAAACATGAACAAATTACACTCGATGGTCGACCAGGGTTCCTCAGTCTTGGCACTGTTGACATTTGGGGCTGGAAAATTCTTTGGTGTCGGGCGCCGTCCTATGCACTGTAGGATATTTAGCAGCGTCCCTGGGGCCTACTGGATGACAGTAGCACCCACCCAGTTGCGACAACCAAAAATGTCCCCAGTGAGTGCCAAATGTCCCTGGGGGCCAAAATCACCCCGGGTTGAGACCCGCTGTCTTTTATACTGGTGTGAAGTCATGTCCAGGGTATTCTAAGGAAAGAAAGGTATGGGATAGCATGTGTATAACACGCTGCCATTTATGTAGAAAGAGAACAGAAATATATCTGTATTTTTTTACCTGATTGCATGTATATTTATAAATTACTTCAGGAAAGACACCCAGGAAACTACCAACACTGGTCACCCCAGGGGGAAGACAACCAAAGGTGATGTGGGGAGGGGGATTCCTCAGCACACATGCTTTTATACTCTCTGAGAATAAACTCTAATAGTTCTAATGGGCAGTCAGGTTGGAGAACCACTGCTCTAAACCAACGTTATCGTGTCTGGTCATTTTTCTCAGCGATCTGGAAACGGAGTTCATGTAGATCCTATAAACCAACTTGATGGTTTCTTAGCAAACCATAGTAAAATGTGTAGAAAGCAGCCCAGTCAGATGTACTTGAGTGCCCTGTTGGGAAATGGTACCTCTCTCAATCCGTGAGCACCCAGTCTTGCACTCTGGGTGCTCCGTGAGTGGAGAGAAAACATTATTTGGGTAACCCCCCAACTTGCCAGTTGCAGACAGGGCATGTGGCTCTCCGTCTCCACTGCAGCCTCATGAGTCAGCCAGACGTTTGGTCCCCAAGCCATCTTTTCACCCACCGCCATTGCTTTGGCAAGTCTACCCTACCCGCCATCTGGCATCCCCTAGGGTTCCGCACGTCACACTCAATCCGCTTTGGGACATTTGTCTTTTTCGCGGGGGACTAAGTATTTGACACGGTGAATGCTGAAACAAGATGCCAAGAAAAAAAGAATCCACACAAGAAATGTTGCAATGTCTCATCCTCAGCAACTTTGTTTGGTTAGTACTGCATAACTCACAGCAGATTCCAAGGCACTGGCCTTGAACATTGCTACATGCTCTAGGCATTATCAGTAACAAGGTGCAATAGAGAACCACAGGCTCTTGCAAACTTGTCTCCAGTTTCTGGGCAGGAGGACTGTCCTCCCTATTTCCTGTTTGCTTTGTGCCTAAGCTGGGCCAGCTCATCCTGTGACTTTGGAAGCCCTGCCTGTCTAGTCGATGCGTCCTATATATTATGCTACCACCATGACAATGTCATGAACGTAACTAATGAAAACCTACCACTTCCCTGCCTCCCATTTAAGTATGACAAATGTGATCATAAAACCTCTACACAAATAATTTCATACAAAGCAAGTCAAACAGCAGTTATAGCGGCATGTGACGTATCTGGCGAAGCTTGCGTTACTGAAGTTAATGCAAAAGTCAGCTTCCGCTCGTGGTCTTATTAAATATATATCCTAAGGGATCAGAGTCATCTATTAGAAACGGTGATAGCCCTGGTATAAATAAACGTTTCTTTAGAGTTTGGCATCAGTTTTTTGACGTGCTCCCTCGAAGCAGACAGTTTGTTGGAGGGATCAGGTTTGAGGGTGTGACACCCAAGGCGGCCAGGTTCTGTTGCAGGCGCTGGTGGTTCAGGTCCAAGGACAGAGGCGGGTCACGGTCACAGGTGCTGCAGGGCCTCCTGTCCTTGTTCCGTGTAACCGTCGTCGCGGTGGCAGTTGGCCCACTGGCCAAAGGACTCGTGGATGCGCACGTTTCTCTGCGTGTTGACCAGACGCTTCTTATCTCGGGAGAAGAAGCTAAACCTTTGAGAAAGGAAGGAAAGAAATAAGAGGCTGCCCTTGGCCATGCACGTCACAGTTTTTGCAATGCCAGCAGCAAACGTGAGGGAGCAAATCAACTCGAGGTGTGAAAGAAAAAGTTCGGGGTGCGGGTCAGAAAGCAGCAGGGCATTCTGCGTGTCATTGTCACAGTACCTTGGAGGTGACACAGTGTGAGCAGGGTGTGCACATAGGTGATGTATCTCCCGCCTTAAGCACTACTGAGGATTTCTTCTCATGACCAGTGGAAATAAAAAGCTACTGGAAACATACATTATGGGTTTCTTTACCTTAATGATGCACAGAAAGAAATACTTGAAAGCCATATGGTACGTAAGACGATTCGGATGTAAAGAGATGAATATTTTAAATTCAAGTAATTATTTCATGTGGATTGGGAAACTAGGTAAGTAGCACATCAAAGCCCAAATTTCATGGATATTACTACAGCTTAGGATGAGGGGAAAGTAGGCATTTAAGAAAAATGAGGCAATTAAAATATGTATTAAGGAATAGCATACACGGTTCTCTGATTAGATGAACATTATGAATATAGTATGTGAATGAAATTTGGGAAATATTAATTTGGACAAGTGACAAGAACTGATTTAATGGTGATTAAAACTGATTTAGTTTAAAGGTGAAAGCCTTTAGAAGTTATCACAGTAACTATCTACATAGCAACAGCTAAAGTAGACCAAGAGGTCTTTTCAAAACAGCTGTGACTATTGGTCATTGATCAATCTGAGTGAACCATCTGATTGACGCCTAAAAGATGAACGTAGAAATCTCAGGCCAAAAGCTGATCATGTGGCCCATTTAAAACAAAGTCAGCTTAAACTCCACCTAAACGGAGACTAGGACCCTGGCCGGTAGACCTGAGTTGGCCTATTTTGAGTGTTTCCCCAAAGCCCTCTCTAAGCTGCCAGCGGTCCTTCTGTACTCTCCGCCTCTAATTAAAGATTCTATTTTTACCAAGTTCCCCTACTCCTGAATTTTGGTTTCTGAACTTGGTAAGAAATATAGTAGCTCTGTTACGTTTTCCAGGGGCAGGAATAGGAAGGAACCCCTGAAGAAGTCAAAGCTTCAGATCAACTATTTTTAGTTCCCTCTGTCCATTTACCTATTCGTTTTTTGGTTTGTTTTTGTTTTTTAGTGCTGTGGCCTATGGAGTTCAGTTTTAATCACATCTGAGTGAAAATGATTTTCCTATTCTGTGGTTACTGGATCCTACAATAACTTCCTAGCAGAAATAAAGTGGTCTTTCATTGCAAAGCTGGGGCAAGCCAAGTTTGTCTAGAGAAATTCTCCCTACCAGCTAAAGTCTCTTTTTTTCTGCAACCAATACGTGTACTGGCAAATGAAGGCATTCTTCTCATTCTGGGTTATTCGTGAGCTCTTTCCATAGGGTAATCAAAGCAATTAGCTGGCCAGAAAGACAGCAGCGCTCATCGCTGTTACATATCATGTCTACATGATTCAAGCAGGAAAGCCACTTGCCACTTCCTGTCCAAGGGGACACAGAAAGAATCAAGACAAAAGTCTCCTCCTCTGCTTTTCCTGTTTTAACAAGATCAAATGGCTTGCTGACTATGGCTTGGCAAAACAAAGCGGTTTAGAAAGCCAGGGTGTGAAGACCAAAAACACAGCGTTAGTGTCACTTGGGGGAGCACGGGGATGGGTCATGGTGGGCATTGATTACTGACCCGTCACTTAAAGGACCTTCTTTACTGGATCATGGACAAGGTGGTTTTAGAATGGAAACAGAAAAGACAGAAAGAATTATTGGTGACAGAGCCGAGAGTTCCGAGGCTTCACTCGTGCATATGCAGCGTCATGAGCCGCACGTTTGAAATCGCACTCCACGCCCACTTCAAATGGGAACACGCAGGTGACGGCCATGCAGCTAAAGGGGCCAGAGGAGACAGGCCAGCCCCAGCAGTAGCTGCAGCAGACATTCCAAAGGCACAGCTCAAAAGGAAACCAGAAAAATGCAGTGCCTACGAGGGACACAAGTCGTCGGACAGGCTGCAGTGTGGGGTCATCTATTATCAGTCCGGCTGCTACCATGGGCATTATGGCTGTAAACATCCTGGTTAGAAAAGTACAGATAGACACAGAGAAGATAAAAACAGAGGCGGCATGAAAAAGAAACACACTCCACAGACAGGTCAGCCGAAGGGTTTGCTTATGGTTGATGTGGAATTAGGGCCCCCAGCGCCCCCCATTCATAGTTTGAAAAGTTCTAACTCCCAGGAGCTCAGAATGTCACCTTATTTATTTATTTATTGAATGTCACCTTATTTAGAAAGAGAATCCTTGTAGATGTAACTAGTTTTGGTGAGGTCATACCGGAGTAGGGCGGCCCTAATCCAATACAACTGGTGTCCTTATAAAAGGGGGAAATTTGGACATGGACACGCACACAGGAAGAAGGCCATGTGAAGATGGAGGCAGAGTTTGATGCTTCTACAAGTGAACAAAGGCCAAAGATTGTCAGCAAACCACTAGAAGCTCGGAGAGAGGCGTGGAGCAGATTCTCCCTCATGGCCCTCAGAAGGAATTGACCCTGCCAACACCTTGATCTTGGACTTGTAGCTTCTAGGAACTGTGAGACTATACATCTCTATTGTTTTTTGTATTTTTTTGGCCATGCCACTTGGCTTGTGGGATCTTAGTTCCCTGACCAGGGATTGAACCCGGGCCCTCGGCAGTGAAAGCGTGGCGTCCTAACCACTGGACCGCCAGGGAAGTCCCTATCTCTGTTGTTTAAGCCAACTCAGTTTTTGGTACAACAGCCCTAGCAAATGGATACAGCGTGTGATAACCACATAGGGAAGGGTGGCCTCAAGGGCTGAAAACGCAGGCCTGGGTGTGGGGAAGGAAGTGTCAAAACCTGCCGTGGGATTACTCTTGGGTGTCTTCCAGCACGTCTCCCCCAGCTGCCATGAGCTGCAGGCTATGTGCCCTGAAGGCAGCCAGGGGAGACCCAGGAGAGAAGGTGAGGCAGCCAGGATGGGCCGGGCAGGAGACAGCCTGCATCGTCACCCGCCTGGTAAGTCAGAGCCGACAGTGAGTGCTCGTCGGTTCCTAGTCTGGCAAGGAAAATGAAGAAGAAACTCCAACCAAGCCTCCAGAACTGATTTTGAACAGCTCTGATTTCTCTTTTTTTTTTAAAGAGCTTGGCTGAGAAAAGATATAATCATCTCAAATGAGGTTTGAGAATTCTCTGCGTCTGGATCACCTTCGACGCAACTTCACAGACTAGCTGGGTGTTGGCACCTTGGCAAAACTACCTGGATGGCTTCTCAGAGACAACGAGAAGGGGTTCCATTTGGTAAATGAATGGGCCCAATCCCCAGGGGCCAGGCTAGCGGGTACCATTAGCTTTCCAGGGGCTCTAAGCCACAAGGTACTGCACCCAGCTCTACCAGGACCCCTCTCTAGCATAACACGGAGCCCCCAAAGACAAAGTCGTTGTTTGGGGGATGGCCCCAGATGTGTGGGGCGGGTATTTTGCCTGGACAGATGTTTGCCCACTGGAAAGTGCTGGACTTCCTTTGGGGCCCAATCAGGGGCCAAACTGATGCACCAGGGCCTTGGGACACCTGGGGTGTTCCGGCCGAGCTATTCTCTGTGCGTCTCGCTGGGATCATGGAACGGACGACCCCCTTCCCTCTCTATTCCAGGTGCCTTGCTGCAGGAGCCGCCTGCTCTAGAGGGACAGCCACTTCCATGAAAAAAGACTGGCTTGTTTTGGGCAAAAGTTGTCTCCTGGATACGATGTAGCTGGTTTCAAACTCCCCTGAGCCCCTGCCACCACCCCGCCCTGCGGCAAATTATTTCTGGAAGACTCAAACCAAATGAAGTTCTAACAGTGGCATTTCAGGCAGTGTGATGGGCGGCTGTAAAGAAGCTATTTCTGGGCTGCAGTGAGCAGGGTGGTGGGTAGGGGGACAGGGAGAGAATGCCCTGCTGTTGCTACCGTCGGATACTTGGGTGGCTGCCTGCTCGAGGCCAACCTTTCCAGTATGTGAGGCCAGTTGTTCTGATCGCAGCTTCCCTGGCTGTGCCTCTGCGCCCCCTGCCAGCTGCCTGCCTCTCAGGTCAGCCCCCCGCCCCTGCTCAGCAGCGAGCAGCTGTGTGTATACCTGTCAGCCCGGGATTGAGAGCCGGGCACCACACAAAGGGGGCTCTGGTGCCTGGTGTCCACTGGGGATGAGGCTGGAGCCACTCAGGCGCTCCCTCGTGACCTGCCCAGCCAGTGCCAACCCAGACTGGCCAGCAGCTGCTCAGTCACAAGCTATTCTTGGAAGGTTTTCTGGGCACACTGTTTTGACAGGCGGCAGGAGTTTCTGGTTCCCTTGACCAGTTCAGCCCAGAAATGTAGACTCTGGTGGCTCTGGCTGGTGGTGCATTTGAGAGATAAGGGAACTGGGCAGCCAGCCCACAGCTGGTGACTCGGGAAATGGGGTGAGGAAAAGGGGGGTGGGGAGGCTGAACGAGACAGCTGGGGCAAGCACTGTCTTGTCTTGGCCAGGAGGCAATCAAAAGGCATGGGTTCCAATCCCGACTTCGATCCATCCAGCAAGGTGATCGCAGTGAAGTCAGTGGGCTTCTCTGGGCCCCAGTTTCCTCATCTGAGAAATGGGGCTAATCCCAGCTCTGAATCTCTGACAGGGTGGAAGATACCCTAGTTCAAGTGCTCCAAGCCGGTGAAGCCCTTTCGAACCTCCATGGTAGCTACTGCTTACTTACTGGAGGGTGGGGAAAGGTGGTCGAGGGCGAGAAGCTGAGCTGGAGCACAGCTGTGAGCTGCGCTAAAGAGGCTGTGTGACTAATACTCCATAAAAGCAAGGACAAAGGGACCAGACAGACCCAGACGGGTGCCCGAGAGTGAAGGATGGAGAGGGAGACAGGCATGGAACCGTCTTAAGAACTGTCATTCCCTTGTCCCGGTCCCCAGGGAAGATCCATCCCTGCCCCAGGCTCTGAGCTCCTGGCCACACTGATGCAGCTTCCGGTCAGTGGCCGAGGTGGACAAAGTGACCAGTGTCCTGTCTGGGCTGGTCAAAAGCCTTCTGTGCCATCTGGATCTTCCACTTATCCCTTACAAGGCCGGGGCGGCCATGGGACTGGCCACCTGCACCCCGTGGACGAGAGATTCTGAATTCTCTCTCCCTCTCTGTCTCTGACTCCCAGATTCCATCTGCTTCTCCTGCTGGGCTCAGAACCCCAGGTCTTGCTGAGCAACCAGAGGCCAAACTGAAGGGGAGAAGGGTTTGAGAACAGGGCCCCAGGGTCCTTTCTGGAACAATCTGGAAAAGAAGACCAGACACCACAGCCTACTCGTGTGTGGGTAGAAGAACTAGTGGGAAAAACATTGTTGGTTAATTCTGACAACTTTCCTCTGGATTTTACCCAGTTTGAGATTTGCAAAAACCAACTCTTAAGTACCTGTTTCAGAGAAAGGGGGCTGGAGTGGAAAACTAGAAAGTCAGAACATCCTCGCTTCAGAAGGAAGTCTTAGAATTACATATGACTTGGAATTACAGTGCCAGAGATGCTGTAAACGCAGCACACTTGGAGCAGAGATGCTAGAAATGTCTGATTGTTAAAGGGAAGGAACTGCTGAAAGAAGAAGACAGATGCTGGTCTCTTGGTCTCACCCCTCCCTTAGCTAAGGGAGGAACTGTGTGGGCTCATGAACTTATTCTCAATTTCCCCAGGTTTCAACCCAAAGCATTTAAGGTCACTTCTGCTCATCCTTACATGCAAGTGGGGCTGGTGGACAGATCAGGGTCTAAGCGAAGTCAATCCCATTTCTTAGCAAGCACTGGGTGGGAAACCCTAACCAAGGATACTGAGTACATCATAGAATTGAGACCAAAGGGCTCCCTCTCCCCCAGGATGAGGCTACAGTGGACGCCGGTTACTTCCGTCTGCTCAGCAAACTGATCTTGCTTGGGGTCTGTCCTTCCCCAAATCCCTGTCCATGGGAACTGGATAGAGTTAAAGCTACTCTAAGTTTCAGGCGTGAGAATGAGACCCAGACCAGACCTATGGATGCACTGCCCACCATGTGGGGTGATCATGTGACCCAGTCAGAGCCAAGGAGACTCAATTCTGTGACTTCTGTGGGAGATTCTCTCCTCCCACTGGAGTTTCAGACAAGAAAGCAGAAGCCTGAGCTGATGGCGGCCATACTGCCACCCTGAGGGGACAGCACGCCCAAGAATACAGCCCACAAAAAGGAAAACAGGTTGAGGCAGACGGAACCAGGCAGAGCCCTGAGAACAAGACCTGGGTCCAGCTGAGCCTGAAGCCAGGATGACCTGAAAATCTCTCGTTGCTTGGCCAAGTTTTTCTTTCTTTAAATTACTTTGAGTTGCGTTTCAAGTGCCAGTGGGAGATTACAAACTAATACGTGGCCAACATGGTGTTGGGACCCAGAGGAAGCCTATCTGATTCCAAGCTTCACCCCCAGGAAACATTTATCCCTAACCAGAACTGGGGACCACAGCCCCTCCCAAATCCAGCGGATCTGCTTGACCGAGGGCCAAGCAAACAAGCAACGTGAAGCTGGCAGGAGAGGCTTGGAAAGGAGCCACGTGTTAATCCACACACTCCAGAGGGCGGCTAGCCTTTCCCAGGGCCCGGTATCTGAACAAGTCGCCCCCTTCTAAGAGCAGAGGGTCCAGCAGTTACACACATTTTGCGTTCCCTTCCTATCCCCCAACACCGTGGATCACGTCAATTCACAGGACAAGAAGTAGCCAAGAATTTCCAAACAAAAGTGGAATTTAAAGGTTGAGGCGGGGCTTCCCTGGTGGCGCAGTGGTTGAGAGTCCATCTGCCGATGCAGGGGACACGGGTTCGTGCCCCGGTCCGGGAAGACCCCACATGCCGCGGAGCGGCTGGGCCCGTGAGCCATGGCCGCTGAGCCTGCGCGTCCGGAGCCTGTGCTCCGCAACAGGAGAGGCCACAACAGTTAGAGGCCCGCGTACCACAAAAAAAAAAAAAAAAAAAAAAGGGCTGAGGCATCCGAGTAACACCCCAGTTCCTCTCCCCACACACCCCAGTTGGCTTTCCAACCCATGCCACTCGCCTTCACAAAGCTTCTACCAGGGTTTGGGGGGAAGAACCGAAGCCTCTTCTCTAAGAAGATGCAAGGCTGAGAGTCAGGAAGACCCTCTCAGGGGACAAAATGAGGCCCCAAGACAACTGGGAGCAGAAGGCCCTCCTGCAGAGTTTGAAACGTGGGCTCTGGGCCAGGCTGCCTGGGTTCGAACCCTGGCTCTGCCTCTTATTAGCTGTATGACCCTAGGCAGGTGATTGACTTTAGTGCCTCAGTTTCCTTAACTGTAAAATGGGGATGACAGTGCCCTCACCTCACAGGGCTATGGTGAGGACTCAGTGCCATTATCTGCAGGAACGGTACCCGGCAGATAGGTTCTTAGTAGATATTAGCACATAGCAGGATCTTACTAGATGTTAGCACATAGTAGGTTCTTACTAGATATTAGCTAACTAGACCAGAGCTTTAACCCTTTATCTGAAGGGCTACAGGGGTCAACGAACCTAAAACTGTTTGCAAGACTGTATGACTCCACCCTCACACCTCCCCCACCCCCACCGCCGCTGAAAGGGTCTGCAAACTCTCATTCAAATCTCAAAGGAGTCTTTTGATGCAAGGACTCCGAAGTATCTTTAAGTCTAGTTGAGGGCTAGGACTAGGCCGCTCTTTCTCTTGTGTGTCCCCCACAGCCACCAGGGCCCAGTGCTGCTTGTATATGCACCAATGAATACTTAATGGAGAGACAGATGGACAGGTGAAGTCATCACAGAAAAGCATATATGGGGTGGACCCGCGGCCATTCAGACACCTCGGAGCTGGGGTTTCAAGGCCTTAAGATGCGTGAACCTTTCCCACCATGCAGTATTTGCTGTCCTCAAAGACATGCCCCGACTGACACACTCAAGCAAGCCCAGGCCCCAGCCCTTTCCCACCCCCTAGGCCTTCCCCAAACCTTTCTGCCCAGGGACCCCCCCACAAGGAGGAACTCAGCCTTCAAAGTACAGAGGTGACTCTGCAGTCAAGGGCCAGGCCCAGCGTGCCCCGGGCTTAGGCTGAGCCCCGCGGGAGGTGGTTAGTAACAAGCCCAGCCCTGGAGCAGGTGCCCAGGAGAAGTGAGAGGCCGTGTGAGCCGCCAGCTCAGCCGCGAGCGAGCAGCCCCAGACGCCGGGAGCGCAGCACTTACAGTCGCTTGATCCCAGACTCCGGCTGGGGGGACATTCTCGGGTGGGTGACGGGTGGAGGTTGGGGTATTCGATTTTCCTCTTCCATTTCTTCACTGGAAGGAGTTGAGAGGTGTGAGATAAGAGTCAAAAATTCCATGAGAGCTGGAATATTCTCTCTGATGGTCTGGGAGGGCATGTACTTTTTCAGGGAGTGAAAATAAGGGACCCAGGAGGACAGCAATGGTGGCCTTTGCCCCATAGGCTCTCTGCCTCGGGGGCTGGCCTCTGGAATGGCCAGTTAAGAGGAAGGATCAGTCCTGGAGGCAACGGACACAGGTGCCTGCAGGCCCTTTGGCCCAGTTGGTCACATGTGAGAAATTTCAGGAAGGTACCCACATCTCTATTTTAAGTTTACTTTGGAGATTCTAGCCGAAAAGAATGGCTTCCTATTTTCTGTTCTTGCCAAATGCTTCCTTGTCTCCACACCTTTGTGGTTTATTCTGCCTAGAATATGCCACCCACAACATCTTCCATACCTGAAACGTACCCCCCTATCCTTTAGGGAAGGCCCAGTTCAAATGCCACCTCCTCCATGAAGCCTTCCTGATTTCCGCCCCATTCCCAAGCCAGAAGTGATTTCTCTCTTCTTTGAACAGCCAGTGCACACACTGTCATAAACCTTTCTTATGTGGCAGACTCACAGTGGGTTTTCAATAAAAATGTGTGGCACTGTATTTTCTCTGATGTCTTATCTTCCCTACTGGGGCAGGGACCACATCTGGTGCCTCTGTCCTTCCTTCCAGCTTTCCATTCAACAGGTAGCTGTTGTGCGTCTACTCTGAGCTAAGCTGCATCCTAAGTGCAGGGAACTTAGTCATGAACAAGACAAATAAGGTTTCTGGTCTCATGTTGTTGCAGTCTAATGCGGAAACAGACAATAAAACAAGCATGTTCATAAACAGGATAATGTGAGACGATGAAAAGAGCCATGAAGAAAGTAAAACTGGGTAAAGTGATAGACAGCGACTAGAACAGAGCGCTCCTTTGGAGGGTTGTTGATGGAGAAGGAAGGCCTCTCTCAGGAGGTGACATCTGACCCGAACCCTGAATGACCAGGAGCCAACCATGGGAAGAACCAAGGGGAATGTTTTCCCAGCTGCAAGAGCAGCATGTGCAAAGGTCTTGAGGTAGAACCGAGCGTGGTGTGTTTTGAGGAACCGATAGCAGGGTAGTGTGTACAAAGCGGAACAAGTGTGAGGTGGCATGGTATTAGATGGTGCTCTAAGCCAGGTGCAGTGCTGTCCACAGAACTTTCCACGAGGATGGAAATATTCTATATCTTCATTGTTCAATACAGTGGCCACTAGCCACACGTGTCAATGGAACGCTTGAAATGTGCTGAGTGCAACTGAGGCACTGAATTTTACATTTTACTTAAGTTTAACTCATTTAAATTTAAATAGCCACATGTGGCTAGTGGCTAGTGTATCAGACAGTGTGGCTCTAATATGTACAAGGAGTTCATTGGCCACGGATGGACTAAATGATCAAATATTAGGCTCTATCGCTCCACCATCTCTTATCTCTAATTCCAAAATCCAAAAGGCTCTAAAAACCAAAATTCGTTTTGTTTTCTTTTATTTTTGGTCATTCACTTGGTGGCAAAACCTGAAATGAAATCTCGTGAGGCTGTTTATAGTCTTTATTTATCCCATTTAGTAGGAATGTTCGTATCTTTTGCTGCAAAAATATTCACGTGTTTGACTTTGGGAAAGCTGCCCCAGAGCTCGCTGGCAGTATAAGGTAATAAGGTAATACAGTATACATAATATTCTTTTCTAACAGGAGTGCACCTGAGCCCGAGTTTCAGAAAGGAATTATGAGTCGGTATGTATGTGCTTCAGGCCAGAGATGGTCCCCACAACGAATACAGATGCAATCCTTGTCTTCCAGGTGTGAATTTGTCCCCAGACTCTGCACAACCTCAGAAAGGAGCCAGCCTGGGAGCTCCCAGGGGCACTCACCTCTTATAGTATGCCAGTTCCTCCTGCAACAAAAACACTTTGGACTTGAGCTCGTTCCTCTCGTGCAGCACGTCCCGCAGTTCCTGCAGTGTGAACCGGGGGCGGTTGGGGTCCTTGAGATCCATGGCCACCTTCTCTGCCTCGGAGACACACCCGTCTCCACCCAGCTCCATCTGGAGGAGGGCAGAGATGCTGCTAATGAATTCCTGGCCGCCGCCACCAGCACCCACTCCGCATCCTGCCGGAGCCCGAATTTCCCACCCTCCCAGGGCCTGAGCAGCTTGCTGAGGACGCTATTTTAAGAACTCGAGGGTGGCCTCTGCTCATGTTCTGTGCAGTCAGCATCCCTCGGGAGGCCAAAGCCAGCGGCCACCTGCGCATTGTTTGACTTCTCGATAGCCAGACCCGCAGTCCTGGCGCCTCCCCAGCTGACCCAGGGTTTTATGACAAATAACATGAAAAGGTGTCCGAGGAGAAGAAACCGTGTACTACCCAATGCTGCCACCCTCTTCAATCTGCCTGCTTTCCCTTTCCCGTGTTCTTGACTCATTTTCTAGCCAAGTGCATTGCTAATTTGGCCAAAGTTGTTGGAATCAGAGCCAATGCGCAATTCTCTATTCCTTTTCATTTGATATTAAGTCATATACAGTTTCCCATTTGTTACTGGCCTTCTGGTCAAGCCTGCTCCTCCCCAGTGGCTGTGAGCATCTTTTCACTGGAGTTTGGTGGAAGCCCTGGTTGGGGCGGGGGGGGTGGGTAACATCGCAGCCAATGTTCACACGCAGGGCATTTCTTTCTTTTCCACACAGGTCACACAGATGGATCCCAGCCTGTTAAATCACCCTGCTCCACACCCAAATCCCATCCTCCTGCCCTCTTCCACAGCAAGGAGCTTTTTAAAAAAAAACCATGATAAAATTCGCTTGACATAAAATTTCCATTTTCAAATGCGCAATGCAGTGGGTGGTGTTTAGGACATTCACAGTGCTGTGCAACTACCACCTCTACCTAGTTCCAAAACATTTTCCAGAGGAAACTCCACACCCATTAGCAGTCACTCCCCATCCACCACCCCCCCGCCCCGCAAGCCCCTGGCAACCACCATCTGCTTTCCATCTCTATGAATCTGCCTTTTCTGGACATTTCCTAGAAATGGAATCATATGATATGTGGCTTTTTGTGTCTGGCTTCTTTCACTCAGCATCATGTTTTCAAGGTTCATCCACATTGTAGCCTGTGTCAGTACTTCATTCCTCTTCATGGCTGAATAATATTCCACTGTGTGAAGAGACATTTTATTTATCCTTTTATCCACTGATGGACATTTGGGTTGTTTCCACCTTTTGGCTATTGGGAACAATGCTACCATGAACATCTGTGTATGAAGGTTTGTGTGAACACCTGTTTTCAGTTCTCTGGGGTACACACCTAGGAGTGGAACTGCTGGGTCATATGGTGACTCTATGTTTAACTTTTGGAGGAACTGCCAGTTTTCCACAGTGGCCGCCCCATTTTACATTCTTGCTAGCGGTGTAGGAGGGGTTTGACATTCTCCACATCCTTGCCAACATTTTTTTCTTTTTTGATAGCAAGGAAGTTTTTGCAAGCTTTCCAAGTCAGCTGGCCAAATCTGCAGGTGGCCCACACTCTCCAGGCAGTGTACTATTCCTGACACCCTTGAGCTGCCAATGTCTCGTGATCATCTAGAAGGAGTGGACAAAAGCTTAGGACAACAGTGGGAAAGCTCTGGAACAGGGGAAGGAGGGACTGAAATACAGAACTGCCCCCCGCCCCCACCCAAAAAAAAAATCCCACAGAAGCACAAGGAGAAAGGGACTCCCACCTAGATGGGCCAGGATGCTGAGGGACTCCAGAAGACAGAGCTGAGAGGCCTCCCATCCTGGGAGAGTCAGGGACGTGCTGTTCTGGGAAAGGACACTTGAAAGGAGACACCTCCCACCAGGGCAGATCAGGTGACAGAAGAGCCACCCGGCAGGTCAGCAGCTGAGCAGCAGGCAGCAGGGGAGGCGCCTCGTGGCAGCAGGAAACTGAAACCTGACACACGCCGCCCCCTCAGACCGGCTGGGCATCAGAGTGGGGCCTCTTTCCACCCACGAACTTGGGGAGGAAATGGTGGAGGATTTAACTTCCCGAGAAGGCACTCTAAGGCATCTGCTGATGCCACACCTTCGGGGGGCTGTGTCCTCAGGGTACGTCTTCAGTGTTTGACTCCCTCTGCAGAGCCTTGGGGGCTGCTCCTCGGACCACCTGATGGCCACACATTCAGATGGTGCCCCCTACCCAAGCTTCCTAGTGCAAATGCCTAGTATACAGCAGGCACTCACTAATGCCAGTTCCCTTCTCTTCCTCTGCCCAGGTTAATCACAGAGCATCCTCAGATGTCTAGTTTTTTTTTTTTTTTTTGCAGTGCGCGGGCCTCTCACTATTGTGGCCTCTCCCGTTGCGGAGCACAGGCTCCAGACGCACAGGCTCAGCGGCCATGGCTCACGGGCCCAGCCGCTCCGTGGCATGTGGGATCTTCCCGGACCAGGGCACGAACCCGTGTCCCCTGCATAGGCAGGTGGACTCTCAACCACTGCGCCACCAGGGAAGCCCGGATGTCTAGTATTTACTTAACATTACCGGGCATCAACTTTCTGCCTGCTGGTCACTGAGCTAATGAGACAAATAGGACAGTTGGTGGTGGAGGAAAGATACACACAAATTTACAAGGTAATATAATTAAAGAGGTACAGGCTCCGAGAAGGATCACGGAAGAGGTACTGCGGATGTGGTCTCTGTGCATGGGGTCTTGACGAACGTGTAGGAGTTCGCCAAGAACTCTGGGCCCACCCTGGCGGGGGCACCCTCCCCCATTTTGTTTGGCCTTCACTGTGTTCTAAAACTCTTTTGAATTAGTTGCCAATGGTTTTAGATCAGGAGATTTCACACTGAAGTTTGGGTCTGGGGCTTCCTTTTGGGAAAAAAAATTGGAAGACTGGGTCCCACTGGGTCCACATGGCAGCACTGGGCTGGTAAACGCATAGCAGCTGCTCCCTTTTACATGCTATTTCTGTGGCTGCCCAGTGCCCTCCCCTTTTTCCTTCCCTGCCTGTGGACTCCATAGGTGCTGGCGGCTGCAGACTCTAATCTCAGGCTCACACACTCCCTCCAGCCCCTCCCTCCCCAAACAACTCAGGCCCTGACATTCATTGGGCAAGTCCCCTGACTTTCGGCCTCTCTGGGAAGGGCTGGCTGAAGGGTCCACACGCCCCTCACTTTCCAAGGGGACTTTGGGCAAGCTGCTTGCTCCTCCCTGGGCCCTCGTTTCCCCATCTAGCCCTCAAACACCCAATAAGGACTTCCGTGGCGGTCCAGTGGTTAAGACTCCATGCTGCCAATGCAGGGGGCGCAGGTTCGATCCCTGGTCAGGGAACTAAGATCCCACATGCCGTGCAGCGTGGACCAAAAAAAAAAACAAACAAAAAACCCCAATAATATTTCTAAGGGCCCTTCCCACCCTGACATCCGGGGATTCCTATGAACACAGGCTTTCAAGGCGCAGCAGTTCCCATGGGTTGACATCACCCAGGACGTCAAAGGGCTTCCTTAGAACCTGAGTTCTTTTCCTCTGGACAGCTCTTTTTTTTTTTTTGGCTGTGCCGAGCGGCTTGTGGGATCTTAGTTCCCTGACCAGGAATCAAACCCGTGCCCCCCGCAATGGAAGCGTGGAGTCTTAACCACTGGACCACTAGGGAAGTCCCAGGGACAGCTCTTCTATCAGAGGAGCAACCTGATTCCCTTATAGCTTGGGGGATTCCCAGACAGGTTTGCAAAAAAAAGTCCTGTCTTCCGGGACCATTGCCTGCAAGTGCAGAAGAGGGTAAGCTTGGGGGTCCAGCTCTTTGGAGACCAGCACAGGCACTGATGCAGGCCAGTCCTCAAGAGACACAGCAAAGGCTCTTCCCAACACGGCAATCGGGCTAATCAGCAGCGAGCCTTCTAGGCTTATTCCACGAGGGACCACGGAGGTGGCTCGGGTTATCACCAATTGTCTGCTGGTCCCCTGAGGATCTCTGGGCACAGCTTGAGGGAGATGCCCGAGGCCCCAGGTGCTCCCTAGGGAGGCCCCAGAGACCGGCTGACAAGCAATGGGGCCTTGTCATTGGGGGAGGGAGGCGACACCCTCTACCAGGGCTCTCCATCCTGAGGCCTGGCCTCCTGGGCACACTCCCCACTGCCTGGGCACAGCAAGGCCACTTCCTGTGCTCTTGAAGGCCACTGAACATACTTCTGAGCAGCCCCTGGGCCAGCAAAGGGGAATGACTGTGCTCTGGTCACCCTTGGAAGCTCCAGGCTACCGCAAATGAATTCAGCCTGAAAACCCTGTTTCACAGGCCAGCCACCAGGACCCTATCTGCTTTCCCTGTATACTTAGAAAAAACCCTAACTTACTAAGAAATCAGAACTTGTAAGGCAGAGACAGTGACATCAAGGAGGTACTATTAACTTTATAGTTTTCTTATTGATTTTATATAAAGTCTCTTAGACAGGAAGCCAACCTCATTTTCTTAAGGGTTTATATGTCTAACTGTCAAAGGCAAGAAAACCGTCAGTTAAAATATGAGAAGCTGGATGAACTAGAAAACATGCTGAGTGAGAAGGCAGTCAGGATCGCCTGTTGTATGATTCCATTTCCATTTTGGACATTTCCGGACATTTTTGAAATGTCCAAAAGAGGCAAATCCAGAGACGGAAAGTAGATTAGTGGTTGCCAGGGCTGGGGGGAGACAGAGATGGGGATTGAGTGCTCATGTGGACGGCGTAGCTTTCTGGGGTGATGGGAACGTTCTAGATAGTGGTGACGATCTCACAATATAGTGAATATACTAAAAATCACTGACTTGGGGACTTCCCTGGTGGTCCAGCGGTTAAGATTCCGCCCTTCTAATGCAGGGGGCGTGGGTTCGACCCCTGGTCGGGGAACTGAGATCCCACAGGCCATGCGGCGCGGCCAAAAAATGAAGAAACTACACAAAATGAAAACCAACCAAACACACAAAAGAACACTGACTTGTACACTTTAAACGGTTGGATTGTATAGTCTGTGAATGACATCTCAATAAATTCCACCTCAATAAATATGTGATAAAAATATACAAAGAGTCTTGCCTACTGGAGATCACACTGAAATGACAGTGATGTATCCCAGAAAGAATCGTATGAATCAAGAGGCAATGATAAGAATGGATTCCTCCCCAGCTCTGGATCCCTCCATAGCTCCCACCTTCCCTCACCAACCTGGTGCCAGGACTCGCCGCAACCCCAGCCACACCCTGCACGTTCTCTAGTCTGGATCATGCTGTTCGTCCTGCCTGGAATGGCCTGCCCCACACTCTACCCCTGGACATCCTACCCATCCCACAAGACCCATCTCAAGGCCCTGAAGAGCTGCACTGCCCTCTCCTCTCCACTCAGAATTCACCGTGTCCTCCTCTGATCCCACCACCCTCTATCCCTGCCACACTAACTTTTAGACCGACTGAATCAAGTCAAGTCCATGTCCCTCATTTGTCATATAGGAAACTGACCATCAGAGAGATGGACAGGCCCCAAGTCACATGGCAGCAGGTGATGAACGCCACTCAGCTCCAAGGGATGCCATCAAACCCCGCAAAGACGCCCTGGGTTTGGGAACAGACGCTGCAAAGAAGCTCAGTGGGTCAGTCATAACTGCTACCGGATTTTACTCCCCTGTTTCTGTCCCACCCCCATCGTGGCAGAAAGGAAACTGCAACCGACTGGCAGCCGTGCCATGGAGGTGTGAAATGTCCTTGTCCTAAAGAGACCTGGCGTGGGGCTCGGAGTCTTGTGGCTGGGGTGATGTCCTCAGGGCCCAGGTTTGGACCAGGCCCCACCTGCCCAGCCGGAGACAGGCCTGAGCTCTTGTGGGGCTCAGGAGGTTGGAAGGGGTACCCAGGGCAGGCTGGGGGGTGTGTGACGGCCCCAAGCTTCTCCCCCTGGCGCCTCCTCTCCATCCCCCTGCTATAGATTTGGTCCAGCCCTCACCTCTCTTGCCGGGACTACTGCAAAAGGTTCCCGACAGCCACGTCTGCCACCAGCTCCTTGTTCAAACTGTCCTCCATAAGCTCAGAGCTGATCCTGTCACTCCCCTGCAGAAACCCTGTGCAAGAATCCACATCCCTCACTGCTCAGCGCTTTTTGTGTGTGGCATTCTCAGCCCCGACTCTCTGGCATGGACGATTAACATCTGTTGTCTCCGATTGGTCTGCATCCATTCCCACACATCTTTGGGCTGAGTCATTGCAATTTTCCTCTGGAGAAACTTCCCTTTCCCACTCTCTGTGAGTGTGGCTTAGATGGGTGCCATCTCCATGTGGCTCAGGAATGGACGACATGCCTCTTCTAACCTCAGACCACAAAGACTGATTCAGTGGTGGGCTAATGAGGGGCTCCCTGAGACTCTCGCTGAGAATCTGGGAAAGAAGCAATTTCTTTCTGCTGGGGTTGCAAAGCTGGCCGAGTACCAGGGGCCACTATATGGCAAGAGGCTGCTTGAGAATGACAACAACACAGAGGAAAGCAAAGCTGAGAGAAGGTCTGAAACAAATTCCTGACAGCATCATTTGGGCACCTGGAACCAGCTATACCTGAAGCCATGATTAACTCAAAGCTTTTAGTTATTCAGCCGAAAATTCCTTAAAAAAAAAAAAAATCCTTAAACCAGTTTAACTTAGGCTTCTGTCACTTTTAGCCAAAAGCAGACTCTAACCTCTCCCTTTTAAGGCTTCTCTCCATTACCTCCCTATCTGTAACCCGGAGGTTCTTGTCCTTCCAAGAACCTAGAAGTGTATGGCCTGAATTCACAAGACACTTAATGACTGTGCTCGGACGAGAGCCAACCTGATGGTAAGCTCCTCTGTCTAACCTCCCCCACCTGTAACCCAAGAGACCAGCACAGTGCCTGCAAACCAGAAACAGTCAATAGATATTTGTTGGAACAAATGGCAAGCGCGGAGCTTTCCTGTGACGGTTCATTATACTCTTCTGAAACGGCACCTCCATCTTCTACACCTACCTGTCAAAATCTTAGTGTTATTATCACTAACATCCAGCTGAAGCAAGAGCTGGTCCGTGAAGCTCCACGCCACCCCCATCGGGATTAACCGCACTATCTCTGTGTTCCTGGCACATTCTGGGGGCACATCTACGTGGGAGACACCTCTGGTGCCCCGTGTCACATCCTGGGCCCACCTGGGTTTTGCTGCAGCTGCGGTGCAGTTCCATCCATGTGGACAGGGGCCCACCTCAAGCACACACTGTATGTCTTTCCATTTCTGCTCCACAAGTTCTGCCCAGGAGTGCTGGGGAGATGACACCTCCGGGGGCCACTCTTAGCTAATTGGGGACAGGCATTTGTGGATAACTGTTCTAAGCCTTTCTTCTCCAGAAAGACAGTTCCGGGAGGTGTTCTATGGTGCTTCTCAGAGGTCCCAGCGGGACTGAGCTCCCACTGTGACCTCAATGACACACCCTCAAATTCCCTTTTCCTCCTTCCCTCACTTCTCTGGTCTTTGGGATCACCTCACAAATTAACCTCCTGCCCAGAGTCCTTTTCTCAAGCTCGCTTCAAGGGAACCCAGACTAAGACAACCTCTTACCACTAAGACAACCCCCTTCCACCTTAAGTGTGGCTGCTGGTCTCCAAGTCTATCTCCTGCACTGGGCTGTAAGCTGCCTGAACCTCCACAGCACTCAGCGCATTGCCTGCAGATAAAAAAGCAGACTTCTCTCTGCAGCTTACCTGGCCTGCATCACTGGCCCCTGCCGACCTCTCTGACCTTATTCAGACCCTCTCCCTCATCGTCAGCTTGCACAACAGGCACCCTTGCCTTCTTATACTTTCCTGACTGCACTGCAATTTCTCCTGCCTCAGGGCCTTTGCACATGCCACTCCCCCGCTTCACCTAGTTTACTTTCACTCATTCTTTCGATCACCTCCTTGAGGAAGCCTTTTTGACTCCCCCAGACTATCATGGTAATAATACCAACAGCTAACACTTTAAATGAACTAACTCATTTAATTCTCAGAACACCAATCTGGGGGTAAGTATTGTTATTAGTATTCCCATTTTAGAGATGAGAAAACTGAGGTGCAAAGAGGCTAAATAATTTATCCAAAGACACGGAGGCAGTAAGGAACTGAGGCAGACTGGCTCTAGAGTCCACACAGTTAGTTACGCACTCCAGACCCTCCCTCAGTTATGGGACCTTCTGGCACCATCCCTCTCCTTTAGCATGAATCGCCGTTTTAAAAAAAAATCGAGATATAATTCACTTACCATAAGATCCACTCTTTTTTTTTTTTTTTTTTTTTAATTGGATGTGCCATGCAGCTTGTGGGATCTTAGTTCCCCAACCAGGGATCGAACCCATGCCCCCTGCAGTAGAAGCATGAAGTCCTAACCACTGGACCACCAGGGAATTCCCAAGATCCACTCTTTTAAAGTATAAAATTCAGAGAGGGACTTCCCTGGTGGCACAGTGATTAAGAATCCGCCTGCCAATGTAGGTGACACGGGTTCGAGCCCTGGTCCGGGAAGACCACACATGCCACGAAGCAACTAAGCCCGTGTGCCACGTCTACTGAGCTTGTGCTCTAGAGCTCGCGTGCTGCAACTACTGAGCCCAGGTGCCACATCTACTGAAGCCTGCACGCCTAGAGCCCGTGCTCTGCAACAAGAGACGCCACAGCAAGGAGAAGCCCGCACACTGCAACGAAGGGTAGCCGCCGCTCGCCGCAACTAGAGAAAGCTCGTGTATAGCAACGAAGACGCAACGCAGCCAAAAAATAAATAAAAGTTTAAAAAAAAAAACCATTAAAGAAATTCAGAGATTTTTAGTACATTCAGAGTTGCGCAACCATCATCACTATCTAATTCCAGAACATTTCCATCACCCTGAAAGAAACCCCGTACCCACCAGAAGTCACTCCCCATACACTCCTTTCCCCAGTCCCTGCAACCACCAGTCTGCTTTCTGTCTCTATTCTGGACATTTCCAATAAATGGACTCATACAATATGGGGGCTTTTGTGTCTGGCTACCTTCACTTAGCATGTTTTTTAGGTTCATCCAAATTACAGCATGTCTCAGTATTCCATTCCTTTTTATGGCTGAATGATGTTCCACTGTATGCAGAGATCATATTTTGTTTATCCATTCTTCAGTTGATGGACATGTAGATTGTTTCCACCTTTTGGCTGTTGGGAATAGTGTTGCTATGAACATTTGTGTACACGTTTTTATGTGGTCATATATTTTAAGTTTTCTCGTGCATATGCCTAGAATTGGAATTGCTGGGTCACATGGTATATTTTGTGATTATTTGACTAATGTCTGTCTCCCATACTGGCTGTAAGCTCCATGTGGACAGGAACCAGTTCTCTATTTTATCCCCCATGCCTGCAACACAGTCAACAATTATTTGAATGAATGAATGAATGAATGGCAGATGCCCAGTAACCACCACCGAGCTGGATACCCTGGGCTAGAATGCTGGGAGTCCTGGGTTCCAGGCTCAGCCCTGCCTCTGCCCAGCTGTGTGTCTTCTAGCCAGCAGCTGGCCCTCCCTCGGCCTCCTATTTCTCTCAAGTGTAATGAGGAAAAAGCAAGGCAGCCTGGCCCCCCTCGAGCCAGCCTGCAGAAGCCAGCTTCCCACTCACCACAGGCTCCTCCTCTCCGTTCTGGCTGAGTTCGCCCTGCAGCCTCTCTCTCAGCTTCCCGAGCTCCGCCCGCAGGCTGCCCATCTCCTGCTCCTTGGTTTGCAGATCTGCCTCCAGTTCTACCTTCTGTTCGATCAAGGCCTTCCCCTGGGCCTCCACCACTGTGACACGGTGCCGGAGGTCGTGGTTGATCTTCATCAGCCGGGTCTGCTGCTGCTGCAGCTGTAGAGAGATGAAGGCTATTGGATAGGGCCACCACATCCAGTAGCACATGTTGTGTACTGCACAAGAGCAAACCATCTACAGGCGTGCCATTCATACTGTAGATGCCTTGATTTGTCTGAAATTTGTTCACGTTCTTACAACTCTGTTGATGCCAGAGATGGGCCATGTGTATATTTACTATGATAATTTTATGATAGATGGAAGATAAGTGTCTTGTTAGTATATTATGACAATTTCCCAACAGAGGGAAGTAACATGCCTTGAGAAAGGGGCATCTTTTTCTAATTTAGGCAGAGACACCGTATAGGTTCCCGGAGCAGCCTGGACCATGCTGGGGCATGAAGGGGATGGGCTGGAGGAAGCCTCAGAGTCAGAGCAGAGGCTGACCAGGCCCTGGGACCTCCTCAGTGTGTGGAAAGAGTCAGGTCACTGGGCAGTGCCATGTTCCCTCCTACTGCGCCAGTGAAGACTCGGCCGAGGGTCCTCCGCATGGCAACTGTTTCAGGGCTGGGCCTCTCAAGCTGTAAGCAGGATCCCCACCCCACGGAGCCCATGGAGTGAGACTGACGGGGAGAAGGGGCGCTTCCTGAGGGGAGGATCCCGTCTCTTGCTGGTACCCACTGGCCGGGAGGGCGGACACAGGGCCGGGGCTCAGCACTTACAGCCTCGACATCCTCGTTCTTCAGCCCGAGCTCCCGATCCTTGGCACGGATCTCGTCGCGCTGTTTGTCCACCACCTCCTTCAGCTTCTTCATCACCTGCCGCTCCCGCTCCGACATGCCTGGGGTGGGGTGAGAGGGACCCGTGGGTGTGTCCACCTCCCTCCGCTGCTTAAGCCATCCGGCGGCTCCCCATCGAGATGAACCTGCCCCCCACCTCCTCCTGGACTCACCTCTGCTCGTCTGCCCCTCCCCAGCGCCTGCTTTCTGCCCCTCCACCCTTCCCCTGCTCATCCCCACCGCAGGGCATTTGCTGTTTCCAGCTTCCGCAAGTCCCTTCCTACCAACCTCCCCCAGGCTGGCTCCCCTTGATTCTCAGGCCTCAGCTCAAAGTCACCTCCTCACAGAGGCCTCTCCTTCCCTGACCACCCCCCGCCAAGTAGCCCCCTCCTCCCACCTCATCCATCCCCTCACTTTTTACAATGGCTAAGTGTCTGGTACATCCTTTCATCTAATGAAAGATGATACTGCATAGTGATTCAGAGGGTCGGCTCTGGAGATCAAACACCGGTTCTCCCATTTATTAATTGTGTGGCGTTGGGCTACCCAACCTGTGCCTCAGTTTCCACATCTCTAAAATGGGAATAACAGTACCTACCCCATAGGGCTGCTGCAAGGATTGCTCTTGTTAATACACATGAAGCCAATATTGAAGAAGATGTCTGGTACACAGCAGGTGCTCAAAGGGTGTTGTCTGTTCTCCCTGCCCCTCGTCCCCCAAGTATACGGTCAGCCCAGGAGGCAAGACCTTGCCTAACCTATTCACTGTGTATTTCCTGGACTAGCATAGTGCCCGGCACACAGTAGGTGTCTGCTCAGGGCTTTGGTGAATTAAGAAACGTGCGGATGGATGCTGTATTAGTTTTATGTGCTGCTGTAACAAATAACCAACAAATTTTGGTAGCTAAGAGCATCAGAAATTTATTTTCTCAAAGTTCCAGAAGGCAGAAGTTTAAAATCAGTCCAATGTTGGGAGTTCCCTGCTGGCCTAGTGGTTAGGATTCCGGGCTTTAACTGCCGTGGTCTGGGCTCTATCCTTGGTTGGGGAACTGAGATCCTGGAAGCCATGCAGCACGGGCAAAAAAAAAAAAAAAAAAATCAAACGTCAGTCCAATATCAAGACGTCACCACATCTGTGCTCCCTCTGGAGACTCTAGGGGAGAATTTGTTCCTGGCCTCTTCCAGCTTCTGGTGGCTGCCAGCGTTCCTTGGCTTGGGGCCCCATCACTCCAGTCTCTGCCTCTGTGGTCACATGCCTCCTTCTCTTCTGTCTGCGTCAAATCTCTCTCTGCCTCCTTTTCAAAAAAAAATTTTTTTTTTGGCCATACAGTGAGGCATGTGGGACTTCCCCGACCAGGGATTGAACCCATGCCCCCTGCATTGGGAGCACAGAGTCTTAACCACTGGACCACCAGGGAAGTCCTCTGCCTCCTCTTTATAAGGACACTTGTGATGGCATTTAGGGTGCACCCAAATAGTACAGGATAAATGCCCATCTGAAGATTCTGACTAAGTTACATCTGTAAATATTTTACCATATAACGTAACGGCCACAGGTTCCAAGGATTAAGACCTGATATTTAGGGGGCCTATTATTCAGCCTCTCATAGGCACTAAGCCTGAGAGCTAATCCCCGCTCCCCAGGAGACCAGAGCTGGGGAGAGTGGTAGTCAGGCTCAACCACAGATTAACAAGGGAGAAACCATTGCTTCTCTCCAATTTTCCTCCCCTATGGGACTCAGGGGACATACCACTAGACGACCAGGCCCTGGGGAAAAGAACCTACGTGGGTGATTCCTCAGCTATTCTCCCCATGGGACTCCCTTCTCTAAGCCGCTCCATCCCAGCTTTTCCGCTGGCCGCCCTCCTCATGTCCTGGATATTCCCAAGCAGGCAGTCACCACGATGAACGAGCATTCATGGTGCGTGTCTAGAACGGTGTGTGATGCTGCTGGGGCTACAAACCCAGAGAAGACCCAGACCCTGCCCTTGATGAGCTGGAGGCTTTATGTAACAGGCACAAAGGCAGGCCGGTCCCAGAAGGCAGCCATCCTGTCTCAATCGTCTCTGTAGTCTGGGGCTTCATACGCGGTAGATGCTCCAGGCTGGCTGATGGAAGAGGGACTGGTTCCCCTCCACGTTCCCAACGTATAGCTCACTCCTACTAAGCCCAGTAAGGATAAACTGCTTTACACCCTCGACCCTATTTCATTCTCACTCCCAACCACTGGAAATGGGTATTATTGTTGTGGCCATTTTAACATGAGTCCCATTTTACAGATACGGAAAACTGAGGTCCAGAGACAGACTTGTTCAAAGCCGCACAGCTAGGCTCTGGCAGAGCTGGGGCTCAAACTCTAGTTTTCTGACTCCAAGTCCTGTGTCCTCTCCATGATGCCGTGCTGCCTCCCCACTGGGGGACAAGACTCAGAAGCTCCTGGCAGGTCACCAGAATGTGTCACCATGGGGCAGACTCCAGCCCATACTTTGTTCCAGACAGGGCCAACTGCTGGGAGTACTCACATTTTACTGTGCATACACGTTCGACATTCATTCCTCAAGTATTTATCGAGCACCTGCTGTATACCTGACACTGAGCTAATCGCTAGGGTCATGATGGCAAGTAAGTGTGGTACAATTCTGCTCTCACCAACTTACAGGCATTAGACAGATGTGTGTGTCATTACAGACCATAACAAGTACTGTGAAAGACTCAACGGGGGCTGAGAAAGAATGATGAGGGAGACCCAATGTAGACTGCGGGTGCAGGAAGGCCTCTTGGACAAGGGTCATTAATGCTGAGACCGGAAGGGGGGAAGGGCAGCCAGGTGACGCGGACGAGCGTTCCCAGGCAGGGGCCCTATGGGAGGAGTGCATCTGAGGCGCTGGAGGGCAGTGCCAGTGGCCGAAGCACAGTGGCTGAGGGGGTGATACAGGCTTGAGCCGGGAGTGAGGCTGGACCGTGCGGGGCCTCGGAGGCCAGGTAAGGAGGCTGGATTTTCCTCTAAAGGGGAAACAAGAACCTCAGGATCTCAACACGTAGAGCCTGCACGGAGCTGGAGGGTCAGGCCAAGGAGACCAGGAAGGGACAGCCATAGAGGAAAGACTTACAGGAGGGCAGGGGTGCCTGGTATGCAAATGAGACAAGCTGGAAGGAAAGGAATTGTGATGAGAAAAGCTGTCAGCTGAGTGACTGGGAGGCCCCGGAGGCAATAAGGATGACTTTGAACGCCTGGGTTCCATCACAGCATATGGCCTCTGACTTCTGAAGTGATGTTAACCTCTCTGAACCTCCATTTCCTCACCTGCAAAGTGGGGACATGCTGATGTTTTTCTTTTCTTTCTTTCTTTTTTCTTTAAATTTTTGGCCATGCCGCTCGGCACGCAGGATCTTAGTTCCCTGCCCAGGGATCGAACCCGTGCCCCCTGCAGTGGAAGCACAGAGTCTTAACCACTGGACCACCAGGGAAAGTCCCATGATGCTTTTCTTTATTCCACCTCTCTGACAACGCTGTACATATAAAATAAGTACATTAGGGAATCACACAAGGCCATGAAATAGGATCTTTTCCTACTGTGAGCCTGGGGCATCCATTCTGCCCCTCAGACCACTCAGCTTCCTCCTTGGACCTCATACCAAGCTAGGAGGCTGAGAGATGCAGAGAAGCTGCACAAGGCCCTCAGAGATGCCAGCCCAAGCAGGAGTGGAGAGGCAGGCATGGAGAGAAGGGGCAAGCATCCTCACCAGGACGGCTAAACTGAAAAGGACTGTCAATGTAAGTGCTGGAGAGAAGGCGGAGCAACAGGAACGCTCGTCTGAGCTGCCGGGGGGGTTGCTACTTGGGAAAACCAATAGGCATCAGCTACTACTGCTGTTACACATCCTCTGTGAACCAGCAGCTGATGCTGGGCATAAACCCCCACAGGCCTTCACGCACAGTGCACGTGATCGCCAGCAGAAGGATGGTTCAATAAACGGCAGGAAGAGCGGACACTACGTGGCTATTTAAAAGACAGATACACTGGGAAGTACAGTAGGGACAATCCGTACAGCACAAGACGTGCAAAAATGTTCACAGCAGCTTCATTCATCATAGCCCCAAACTGGAAACCGCCATGACGCCTATCAACAGGAGAACGAATAGGGACTTCCCTGGTGGTCCAGTGGTAAAGAATCCAATGCAGGGGACGTGGGTTCAACCCGTGGCTGGGGAACTAAGATCCCACATGCCTCGGGGCAACTAAGCCCACGTGCCACAACTATTGAGCCCGCGTGCTGCAAACTACAGAGCCCACGCGCTCTGGAGCCCGTGCGCTACAACTAGAGAGAAGCCCAAGCACTGCAAAGAAGAGACCTCGCGCCATAAGGAAAGATCCCGCATGCCTCAACAAAGATCAGGGAACCAAGGACCTCCCTGGTGTGTTGCAACTAAGACCCGACGCAGCCAAAAAAATAAGGAAAATAAATATTTAAGAAATAGTAGAATGAATAGATAAACCTTGATACGAACAAGAAATGGAATACTATACAGCTATGAAAAAGAATAACTACACGTTCCACTTGGAGTTTATAAAGTCAGTTATTTCTTCAGACACTCCTTGCTTCTCAAAGGATGCTCTTCAGCTGGACTCCTGAGCTGAAGGGCCCCCAGACTTGCAATGGGGAAACACAGGGCCATCTGGGGGTTCTGGGCACCAGGTGTCCCCCTCCCAAAACTCCTGGGCCACTGCTGCAAGGCGGGGCCTGGGCCTGGGCTAGTGTGACAAGAGGACACTGCTAACGTCTCCCAAAAAAGTGCTCCTTAGACACAGTGCATGAGCGAGTGTGTGTGTGTGTGTGTGTGTCTGTCTGTCTGTGTGGAGGAGGAGGGCTGAAATCAGGTGTAGGCAGAGTCTGTGAAAAAGCCACGAAAGTATTCACTGCTCTCTGAGCACCTGTCCCGCAAAGGCTCCAGGCAGGGGCATCAAGGGCCCAACTCGTTAAATTTAATCCTTGGTGGGAGCAGATTCCACTCCTGGAGAAATCAGGTGAGCAGAACAGCTACGTGGGGTGGGCGCAGGG